TTTTAGTTTTATGGAAGATATTTGTTTTCTTTGTTTGTTTTACTGTTGGCCTCAAGGGGCTCAGAAATGTCCCTTCATACATTGTACAAAAAGGGTTTCCAACTTGTTAAATCAAAACCAAGATTTAATTCTGTTAGATGAATCCACACATTGCAAAAAATTTATACAGATAGATTGTTTCCAGTTTTTAAGGCAGGATATTGTTTTTCACTATAGGCCTCAATGGGTTCAGAAATGTTGCACCGTAGATTCTACCAAACAGCATTTCCAATTGTTTGAATTAAACCAACAGTTTAACTCTGTGAGATGAATCCAGAAGTTGCAAAGCATTTTCACACATAACTTTTTTCTAGTTTTTATCACGGGATATTTGATTTTTCACTACAGGCCTCAGTAAGCTCAGAAATACCCTTCATAGAGTCCACAAAAAGAGTGTTTCCATCCTGTTGAATCAAAAGGAAGGTTTAATTGTGTGAGAAGAATCCACACATGTCCAAGCATTTTCACATAGCTTGTTCTGAGTTTTTATTGCAGGATATTCTGTTTCTCTCTACAGATCTCAATGGGCTAAGAAGTATTTCTATGTAGATCCTACAAAAAGACTGTACCCAACCTGTTGAATCTAAACAAAGGTTTAACTATTTGAGAATGAATTCCAACCTTATGAACTGTGTGATCTGGTAGTTTCAACATGACAGGTTCTTTCTTTTTTTTTTTTTTTTTTTTTTTTTTTTTTTTTGAGAGTGTCCTCGCTCTTTCACCCAGGCTGGAGTGCAGTGGCACGATCTTGCCTCCTGGTTCATGCCATTCTCCCTATCTCAGCTCCCGAGTAGCTGGATACAAGCACCACCACCATGGCCAGGTACTTCATTTTTTTTTTAGTAGAGAAGGGGTTTTACCATGTTAGCCAGGATGGTTTAGATTTCCTGACCTCGTGATCCACCCATCAGCCTCCCAAAGTGCAGGATTGCCAGCATGAGCCACCACACTTGGCCTTGTTTCTAGTTTTATCTTGGGACATTCTATTTTTCACTTTAGGCCTTAATGAGCTCAGAAATGCCCCTTAGTAAGTTCTACAAAAAGTGTGGTTCCAATCTGTTGAACCAAATAAAAGTGTAACTCTCTGAGATAAATCCACACATCACAAAGCATTTTCACAAGTAGCTGGCTTCTAGTTTTTAGCACACTATATTTGGTTTTGCACTGTTGGCCTCAGTGAGCTCAGAAATGTTCCTTCATAGATTGCAGAAAATGAGTGTTACCAACCTGTTGAATAAAATGAAAAATTTAACTCTGATATAAATCCACACATTGCAAAGCATTTTCTCATATATTCACAGGATATTCGGTTTACACTGTAGGCTTCAATATGCTCCCAAATGTCTCTTCATAGATTCTGCAAAAAAAAAAAAAAAAAAAGAAAAAAAGAGTTTCCAACATGGTGAATAAAAGCACAGGTTCCATTCTGAGAAATGAATCCACTACATCACCAAGCATTTTCACAGATAGTTTTTTTCTACTTTTTATCACAGATATTTGATTTTATCTATAGGTCTTAGGTTCAGAAATGTCTTTTCGTCTATTCTACAAAAAGAGTGTTACAACCTGGTGAATCAAAAAAGGGCTTCTAGACTGTGAGATAAATACACACATCACAAAGTATTTTCACCAATACCTTGTCTCTAGTTTTTATCACGGGATATTCAATTTTATGTAATGGGCCTTAATGGGCTCAGAAATGTCCCTTTGTCGATTCTACAAAAAGAGTGTTTCCAACCTCGTGAATAAAAATACAGGTTTCATTCTGTGAGAAGAATCCCCACTTCTTAAACCATTTTCGAAGATAGCTTGTTTCTAGTTTTTATCGCAGAATATTTGCTTTTTCACTATAGGCTTCAATGGGCCTATAAATGTCAATTCGTAGATTATACAAAAAGAGTATTTCCAACGTGGTGAATCAAAACACAGGTTTAACTCTGTGAGATCAACCGACACATCACAGAGCATTTTCACAGATAGCTTGTTTCTATTTTTATCGCAAAATATTTGGTTTTGCACTATATGCTTACATGGGCTCAGAAATATCTCTTCGTAGATTCTAACAGAGTGTTTCCATCCCATTGAATTAAAACACAGGTTCCATTCTGTGAAATGAATCCCTACATCACAAAGCATTTTCTCAGATAGCTTGTTTCAATTTTGTTATCGTGGGATCGGTTATTCACTATAGGCTTCAATGAGCTCAGAAATGTCCCTTCATAAATTCTTTAAAACAAAACAAAACAAAACAAAACAAAAAAAAACTGTTTCCAATCTGGTAAGTCAAACCATAGGTTTAATTCTATGAGATGAATCCACATATTAAAAATAATTTTTGCAAATGGCTTGTTTCTGGTCGTTACCACAAGATATTCGGTTTTACACTATAGCCTTCGATGCACGCAGAAATATCTGTTACTAGATTCTACAAAAATAGTGTTTCCATCCTGTTGAATCAAAACACTGGTTCCATTCTGTGAGAGTAATCCACACATCACATAGCATTTTCACGAATAGCTTGTTTCTAATTTTTATCACGGGATATTTGGTTTCTCATTAAAGGCTTCAAAGGGCTCTGAAATGTCCCTTCCTAGATTCCACAAAAAGAGTATTTCCAATCTGTGAATCAAAACACAGGTTTAACTCTGTGAGATGAATCCATACATCACAAAGCAATTTCACGTGTATCTTGTTTCTAGTTTTTATTGCAGCATATTCTGTTTTTCACTACACATTTTAACGGACTCAGAAATGTCCCTTTGTAGATTCTATAAAAAGAATATTTCCAACCTGGTAAATTGAAACATAGGTTCCATTCTGTGAGATGAATCCGCTACATCACAAAGCATTGTCGTCAATAGTTTTTTTTTTTTTTTTAGTTTTTATCACCAGTATTTGATTTTATCTAATGGGCTTCAGTGGGCTCAGAAATGTTCCTCTGTCGACTCCATAAAAAGTGCTTTTAACATGGTGAATCAAAACAGAGCTTCCAGTCTGTGAGATGAACCCACACATCACAAAGCATTTTCACTGATAGATTTTTTCTAGTTTTTATCACAGCATATTTGATGTTATCAAATAGGCCTCGATGGGCTCAGAAATGTTACTTCTTACATTCTACAAAAGAGTGTTTTCAACCTTGTGAATAAAAACAAAAGTTTCGGCTGGGTGCAATGGTTCATGCCCATAATCCCAGCACTTTGGGAGGCCGAGGCGGGTGGATCACGAGGTCAGGAGTTCAAGACCAGCCTGGCCAAGATGGTGAAACCCTGTCTCTACTAAAAATACAAAAATTAGCTGGGCGTGGTTGTGGGTGGTTGTAATCCCAGCTACTCGGGAAGCTGTGGCAGAGAATTGCTTGAATCCATGAGGCGGAGGTTACAGTGACCTGAGATCGTGCCACTGCACTCCTATCTGTGACGGAATCTGGAAAAAAAAAAAAAAACTTTCATTCTGTGATAAGAATCCACACTTCACAAACCATTTTCACAGATTGCTTGTTTCTAATTTTTATCACAGGATATTCGGTTTTACATTGTAGGTTTCAATGTGCTCCCAAATGTCTCTTTATAGATTCTGAAGAAAAAAAAAAAAAGTTTCCAACCTGGTGAATCGAAGCACAGGTTTCATTCTGTGAGATGAATCCACACATCACCAAGCATTTTCAGTTAGTGGGTATCTAGGTTTTAAAGCAGAATATTTGGTTTTTTACTACAAGCTTCAATGGGCTCAGAAATGCCCCTTCATAGATTTCACATAAAGAGTTTTTCCAACCTGGTGAATCAAAACACAAGTTCACCTCTCTGAGATGAATCCACACATCAAAGAGCATTTTCACAGATAGCTTGTTTCTAGTTTTTATTGCAGGATATTTTGGTTTTCACTATAGGTTTCAAAGGGCTCAGAAATACCCTTTCGTAGAATCTACAAAAAGAGTACTTCCATCCTGTTGAATCAAAACACAGGTTCCATTCTGTGAAATAAACCCAAACATCACAAAGCATATTCACAGATAGGTTGTTTCAATGTTTTTTCGTGGGATTTGTTTTTCACAATAGGCAACCAATGGGCTTAGAAATGTCCCTTTGTGGATTCTTCATAGTCTTTTTAACCTGGTGAATCAAAACATAGGTTTAACTCTGTGAGATGAATCCATGCATGACAAAGTAGTTTCAGAGGTAGGCTGTTTCTAGTTTTTATTGCAGGATATTCAGTTTTTCACTATTGGCTTTAAAGGGCTCAGAAATATCCCTTTGCAGATTCTACAAAAAAGAGGGTTTCCAAACTGGGGAATCAAAACACAGCTTTCATTCTGTGACATGAATTCACACATCACAAACCATTTTTGCAGATGGTTTTTCTCTAGTTTTTATCACAGGATATTCAGTTTTTTAGTATAGGCTCCAATGGGCTCAGAAATGTTTCTTCATAGATTATACAAGAGTATTCCCAACCTGGTGAATCAAAATGCAGGTTCCATTCTGTGAGATGAATGCAAACGACACCAAGCATTTTCACAGATATCTTGTTTCTGGTTTTTATCGCCGGACATTAGGTTTTCACTATGACTCAAAGGGCTCAGAAATATTTCTTCGTAGATTCTACATCAAGAGTTTTTCCAACCTGGTGAATAAGAATACAGGTTGCATTCTGTGACATGAATACAGAAATCACAAAATATTTTCATAGATAGCTTGTTTCTAGTTTTTATTGCAGGATACATGGTTTTTCATGATAGAATTAAATAAGATTAAAAAAAAATCCCTGTGTAGACTCTACAAAAAGTGTTTTTCCTACCTGGTTAATCAAAATACAGGTTTAACTCTGTGAGATGAATCCACACATCATAAAGAATTTTCACAAAGAGCTTGTGTCTAGCTTTTATTGCAGGACATTCATTTTTTCACTATAGGGCTCAGAAAAGCCCCTTCATAGATTCTATTAAAAAAAAGTATTTCCAACATGGTGAATCAAAAGACAGATTCCATTCAGTGAGATGAATGCACATATCCCAAAGCATTTTCAAGATGGCTTGTTTGTAGTTTTTATTGTCTGATACTTCATTTTATCTTATAGGCCACACTGGGCTCAGAAATGTCCCTTCATAGATTCTGCAAAAAGAGTATTTTCTACCTGGTGAATCAAAATACAAGTTTAACTCTGTTAGATGAATCTACACATTACAAAGCATTTTCATAGCTGGCTTGCTTGTTGTTTTTATGGCAGGAAATTTGGATTCTTACTATAGGCTTCAATGGACTCGTAAACATCCCTTCATAGAGTCCACAAAAAGAGTGTTTCCAGTCTGTTGATTAAAACACTGGTTCCCCTCTGTGAGATTAACCCATCACATTACAAAGTGTTTTCACAGATGGCTTGTTTCTAGTTTTGATCATGGAATTTTAGATTTTATCTTACGGGCCTCAAAGGGTTCAGAAATTTTCCTTCTTAGATGCGCCAAAAAGAGTGTTACCAAACTGATAAATCAGAACGCTGGTCCCATTCTGCAAAATTAAGTCACACATCATGAAGCAGTTTCACAGATAGCTTGTTTCTAGTTTTCACCAAGGGATAGCTGATTGTATCTTATGGGCCTCAATGGGCACAGAAATGTCCTTTCATAGGTTCTATAAGTAGATTGTTTCCAACCTGATGAATCAAAACATAGATTCATTTCTGTGAGATAAATCCACACATCACAAAGCATTTTCTCAGCTTGTGTCTAAGTTTTATCATGAGATACTTGATTTCATCTTATGGATCTCAATGGGCTCAGAAATATCCCTTCATAGATTCCACAAAAAGAGTGTTTCCAACCTGGTGAATCAAAACACAGGTTCCACTCTGTGAGATTAATCTGCATATCAGACAGCATTTCTACAGATAGCTTGTTTCTAGTTTGTATTGTGGGATATTAGGTTTTTCACTACAGGCTTCCAGGTGCTCAGAAATGTTTCCTTATAGATTCCACAAAAAGGGTGTTACCAACCTGATGAATCAGGATTTTTCCTTGTCAGATGAATCCACAAATGACAAAGCATTTTCACAGATAGCTTGTTTCTAGTTTTTATCACGGAATATTCGGTTTTACACTATAGGTTTCAATGAGCTCAGAAATATCCCTTAGAATCTACAAAAAGAGATCTTATTCTGTTAAATCAAAACACAGGTTCCATTTTGTGAGAGGAATACACACATCACTAAGCATTTTCACAGATAGCTTGTTCTTTATTTTTTATCATGGGATATTCTGTTTCTTAATATAGGTTTCAATGGGCACTGAAATGTTCCTTTGTAGATTGTACAAACAGAGGGTTTCCAACTTGGTGACTCAAACCACAGGTTTAACCCTGTCAGATGAATCCACACATCACAAAGCATTTTCACATATAGCTTGTTTCTACTTTTTATTGTGGGATATTCTATTATTCACTATAGGCTGCAATGGGTTCAGAAATATCCTTTCATAGATTCTGCAAAAACAGTGTTTCCAACCTCGTGAATCAAAACACAGATTTCATTTTGTGAGATGAATCTACTACATCACAAAGCATTTTCGCAGACTTTTTTTCTAGTTTTTATCATGAGTATTTGATTTTCTCTTATGGGCCTCAAAAGCTCAGAAATGTCCCTTTGTCGATTCCACAGAAAAAGTGTTTCCAACCTCGTGAATTAAAATAGAACATCCTGTCTGTGAGATGAATCCATACTTAACAAATCAATTTCAAACAATATTTGAAATACGAAATTTCAACCAATTTCAAACAAACAAACAATAGCTTGTTTCTAGTTTTTGTTACGGGACACTCTGTTTTTGCACTATAGGCTTCAATGAGCTTAGAAATGTCCCTTTGTAGATTCTACAAAAACTGTTTCCAACCTAGTCAATAAAAACACAGGTTCCACTCGATGAGATGAATCCACACATCACAGCGAATTTTCACAGATAGATTTTTTCTAGTACTTATCACAGGATATTTGGTTTTTCACTATAGGCTTCAATGGGCTCATAGTTGTCTCTTTGTAGATACTGCAAAAAGAGTGCTTCCAACCTGTTGAATCAAAACAGAGGTTTAACACTGAGATCCATCCACACATCACCAAGGATTATCACAGATAGCTTGTTTCTAGTTTTATCGCGGGATATTCGGTTTTTCACTATAGGCTTCTTTGGGTTCTGTAAATTATATAAAAAGAGTATTTCCAACCTGGTGAATCAAAACGCAGGTTTAACTCTGTGAGATCAGTCCACACATCACAAAGTATATTCACATATAACTTGTTTCTAATTTTTATTGGGGGATATTCGTTTTTCAGTATAGGCTTCTACAAAAAAAAAAAAAAAAAGTTTTCAATCTAGTGAATAAAAACACAGATTCCTTTATTCGAGATACTGAGATACTACTGGCAGACCCCAGTCTAATGATAGAGACACCTGGGTGACCCCAGGTATTCTAATGTGAAGGATTCCTGGATGACCCAAGGCATTCTAATGATAAAGACACAAGAACAACAGCAGGCATTCTAATAGGAGAGACTCCTGGCTGACCCCAGGAGTGTAATGATTGAGACACCTGGGCGACCTCAGGCATTCTTATGGGAGAGACTCCTGGTCGACCCTAGGCAGTCTAATGATAGAGACAACTGGGCGACTACAGGTAGTATCATGGAAGAGACTCCTGGCTGACCCAAGGCAGTGTAATAAGAGAGACACCGGGGCGACCCCGGGCATTCTAATGGGAGAGACTCATGGTCAACTCCAGGCAGTCTAATGATAGAGACACCTGGGCGACTGCAGGCATTCTAATGGGAGAGACTCCTTGCCGACCCCGGGCAGCACAATGATAGAGACATCTGGGCAACACCAGGCATTTTAATGACAGAGACTCCTGGGCAAGCACAGGCAGTGTAAAGATAGTGACATCCTGGAGACCCCAACATTCTAGTGAAAGAAACTCCTCTACTACCCTAGGCATTCTAATGATAGAGACACCTGGGCAACAGCAGGCATTCTAATGGAAGAGACTCCTGGCCAACCACAGGCCATCTAATGATAGGAAAAATACTGCAACCCCAGGCATTCTAATTAAAGGTACTCCCGGCTAAACCCAGGCATTCAAATGGAAGATACACAAGGTCGACGACAGGCAGTTTAAGGATAGAGACATCTGATCAAATCCAGGTATTCTAATTTGAGACACACCAGGTGGATCCCAAGCATTCTGATAGGAGAGACTCCCGGCAGACACAGACAGTCTAAATATAGAGACATCTGGGCATCCCCAGGCATTCTTATGGGACAGATTCCTGGCTGACCCCAGGTAGTTTAATTATAGAGACACGTGGGCATTACCAGGCATTCTAATAGATGAGACTCTTGGCTGACCCTAAACATCCCAGAGACACCTGAGTGATGGCTGACCCCACGCAGTCTAATGATAGAGACACCTGGGTGACTGCCGGCATTTTCATGGGAGAGACTTCAGGTCAACCCCAGGCTGTCTAATATGGAGACCTTTGGGTGATTCCAGGCATTCTAAAGGGAGATACTCTTTGCTGACCCCAGACAGTCTAATGAGAGAGACACCTGGGCGACCCCAGCCATTCTGATGATATAGAGAACAAGGCAACCCAAGGCATTCTAATGGAAGAAACTCCTGGGTGACCACAGGCATTCTAATGATAGAGACACCTGGGCGACCCCAGGCATTCTAATGGAAGAGACTCTGAGCTAACCACAGGCATTCTAATGGGAGAGCCTCCAGACCAATCCCAGGCAGTCTAATGATAGAGAATACTGGGCAACTTCAGGCATTCTAATGGGAGAGACCCCTGCCCGACCCAATGCCATCTAATTATAGGGACACCTAGGTGACCTCAGGCATTCTAATTTGAGAGACACCTGGTGGACCACAGGCATTCTAATAGGAGAGACTCCTGGCAGATCTCAGGCAGCCTAAGGGTGGAGACACATGAGTGATCCCAGGTAGTCTAATGGGAGAGATTCTTGGTCAACCCCAGGTAGCCTAATTATAGAGAGATCTGGGCAACCCCTGGCACTCTAATTGTAGAGACTCCCAGCAGACCCCATGCATCCTAATGATAGAGACACCTGAGCGACTCCAGGCATTCTAATGGGAGACAGTCCCAGCTGATTCCAGCCAGTCTAATAATGAAGACACCTGGGGGACCCCAGGCACTCTAATAACACAGTCTCCCAGCCGAACCCAGGCAGTCTAATGAGAGAGACACCTGAGTGACCCCAGGCATTCTAACTGGAGAGACTCCCAGCCGACCCTAGGCATACTAATGATAGAGAAACCTGAGTGATCCTAGGCATTCTAATAGGAGAAACTTTCAGCTGACACCAGGTATTATAATGATAGTTACACCTGGCTGACTCCAGGCATTCTAATCAGAGAGACTTCTGGCTGACCCCAGGCAGTCTAATGATAGAGACATCTATCTAGGGGACCCAAGGCATTCTAACGACAGAAACACCTGGGGACCCCAGGCATTCTAATTGGAGACTCCCGGCCGACCCCACACATCCTAATGATAGAGACACCTGGGCGACCCCAGGCATTCTGATGATATAGAGAACAAGGTGACCCAAGACATTCTAGTAGGAGAGACTCCAGTCAACTCCAGGCATTCTAATGGGAGAGAATTTTGGCCGACCCCAGGCAGTCTAATAATAGAGACACCAAGGAGACCCCAAGGATTCTAATGGGAGAGACTCCAGGCTGACCCAAGGCAGTCTAATGATAGATACCTGGGCGAACACAGGCATTCTAATGAAGAAACTCCTCTTTGTCTTCAGGCAGTCTAATGATAGAGACACCTCGGAGAGCACAGACATTCTAATGGGAGAGACTGTTGGTCAACCCCGTGCATTTTAATAATAGAGACACTGGGGCAACCCCAGGCATTCTAATGATAGACACTTGGGCAAAGTCAGGCCGTCTAAAGATAGAGACACCTCGACAACAACAGGCATTCTAATGAAAGAGACTCCTGGCCAACCCCAGGCAGACTAATGATAAAGACAGCTGGGCAACCCCAGGCATTCTGATGGGAGAGAGTCCCAGCAGACCCGAGGCATTCTAATGATAGAGACACCTGGGTGACCCCAGGTATTTTAATAAGAGAGACTCCTGACAGAACCTAGGCAGTCTAATGATAGAGACACCTGGGCGACCCCAGGCATTCTAATAGGAGAAAATCCCAGCTGACCCCAGGCATTTTAATGGAAGAAACTCCTGGCCGACCCCAGACAGTCTAAAGATAGAGGCACACAGTGACCCCATGCATTCTAATGGGAAAGACTCAAGGCCGACCCCAGGCAGTCTAATGATAGAGACACCTGGGCGACCATAGGCATTCTAATTGGGCAGACTCCTGGCCGACCCTAGGCATTCTAATGATAGAGACACCTCAGCAACCCCAGGCATTCTAATGGGAGAGACTTCTGTCTGACCCTAGGTATTCTAATAAAGACACTTGGGCGATCACAGGCATTCTAATGGTAGAGACTCCTGGGCGACCCCAGGCATGCTAATGGGAGAGAAACTTGGGTGAACCTAGGCATTCTAATGACAAACACTCCTGGCTGACTCCAGGGATTCTAAAGATAGAAACACCTGGGCGACTGCAGACATTCTAACAGGAGAGGCTCCTGGATGACTCCAGACATTCTACTGATTAAGACAGCTGGGTGACCCCACACATTCTAATGGGAGAGACTCCAGGTGGAACCTGGGCAGTCTAATAATAAAGATATCTGGGCGACGCCAGGCATTCTAATGGGAGAGATTTCTGACCAACCCCAGGGAGTCTAATGGTAGAGACATCTAGACGACCCTGGGAGTTCTAATAAGTGAGACTACTGGTGGAACCCAGGCAGTGTACTGATAGAGACACATGGGTGACCCAAGACATTCTAATGGGAGAGACTCCTGGCCGACCCCAGGCAGTGTACTGATAGAGATACTTGGGCAGCCACAGGCATTCTAATGGGAGAGACTCCTTTCCTATCCAAGGCATTTTAATGACACAGACACCAGGGCAATTGCAGGCATTCTACTGAGAGAGACTCCTGGCTGATCCCAGGCAGTCTAATGACAGACACCAGGACAACCCCAGGCATTTTAATAGGAGAGATTCCTGACCAAACACAGGCAGTGTAATTACAGAGATGCCTGGGCGAAACCAAGCATTATAATGGGTGGCGGGGGGGTGGGGGGGACTCTGGCCAATCCCAGGCATTCTAATGACAGAGACACCTGAGTGACTGCAAGCATTCTAATGGGAGAGACTCTTGGATGACCCCAGAAAGTGCAATAATTGGGACACCAGGGCAACCACAGGCATTCTAAAGGGAAAGAAACCTGACTGATCCCAGGCACTGTAATGATAGAAACAGCTGGGTGAGTTCAGGCATTCTAATGGGAGAAACTCCTGGACGATCGCAGGCATTCTAATGGAAGAGATACCGTGCCAAACCCAGGCATTCTACTGATAGAGACACCTGGGCAACCCCAGGTATTCTAATGGGAGAGGCTCCTGGCCAACCTCATTACACTGACCCCAAGCAGTGTAATGATACAGGCATATGAACAACCCCAGGAATTCCAACAGGAGTGACTCCTGGCCGACCCAGGCATTCCAACGATAGAGACACCTGTGCTACCGCAGGCAGTCTAATGATAGAGACAACTGGGAGACCCCAGGCATTCTAATAGGAGAGACTTCTGGCTGACCCCAGGCAGTCTAATAATGATACAGACACCGGGGCAACTGCAGGCATTCTAATGAGAAAGACCCCTGGCCAACCCCAGGCAGTGTAATGATAAAGACACCTGGGCCACCCCAGGCATTCTAATGGGTGGGAATCCTACATGCCCCCAGGCATTCCAATAACAAAGACACCTGGGTGACAGCAAACATTCTAATGGGAGAGACTCCTGGCCAACCCAAGGCAGTGTAATAGAAATACCTGGACGACCATAGGCATTCTGACGATAGAGACTCCTGGCTGACCCCAGGCCAT